CTAACGCCTGTCTGGTGTGTTAACAGGCTGGATGGCACGCCAGAAACTAGTTTCTTTACCTTCAATTATGTTCAATAATTGTTAAAATGACTAAAAAAGTTAATATTAAACTTTTAAAATTATTGAATAGTATAAACTTCTTGATATTTACTAAAATAGTAAGGAATTTAAGCCCTAGAACCGATTAATGTATTGGCGGACTGATACTAAAGCTGGTTGCCCGGTCAGTGCAAGCGAAAACATGTAGAGGTCGGTTCGTAAGAAATTCGTTAACCGAATTTTTGTTCGTTAACCGAATTGAAGATCCTTATGGAAGGCAGTTCGTTAACCGAAATTTCGTTAACCGAGGCGTTCGTTAAACGAGGGGTCACTGTATGCATATTTGAAAAATAAGGCTGCTATTTATGCATGCTTATTTGGCTCCACATACATCTGTGAGCAAACATTTAGTCTGTTGAATCTTAACAAGTCACAATTTCAAACATCACATCAAGAAAAACTTGCCATTTGATATGCCAGGTAAGCATATTGTTTTTAATATAAACAAATTATGGTAATATGCCTTTTTATAAAGTTTCAGATTAAAATTAATTATGTGACGGTAAATGCAGTATATTGGATTTTGAAAAATAGTATACAGTATGTGCATTTGAGTAAAGAATTTGAAAATGTAATTCAAACATCTAATTATGGTGACTTTCATAAATCTTGCGGCCCTCGCTTACAAGTTAGTTTGGTGATGTGGCCCCAGAGGTGAAAAGGTTGTGCATGTATGCTGTACAGTATATGTAATGAAATAAAAACAAGAGTTGTATCAGGTACTTACCAACAGCAAGGGTAATTTCTTGATGAGCTTGTAAGAGGCAGACGAACTGTACATGTACTGTATTGTGTGCAACATTTCACAGGCACAATACGGTACCTGTACTGTAAATTGTTCAGACAAACGTAACACTACTCTATGTACAATTGTCCCTCACCAACCACGGAGGTTTGGTTCCCCAAAAAACCCATGGTTGGCATATCCATGGCTAGCAAGACTAAAGGATATGGGAAATAGGGGGCTAGGTTCCATGGTCACTTATAATACTTGTCAAAGCCTAACTAAGTTGCCTGTTCCCTTACTAAATAATAACTGTATTGTACATACAGTATAATTAAATTTGAGTCAAATACATATAAAATAGCTTAAAAAAAATTTACAGGGGGACCTCATAAAAAAGAGTACAGTGAGTTCTGCTATAACGCGTGTTTTGACAACGCGAATTTGCTCAAACGCGATTTATGAATTGAGGAACGATATTTGTAAAACGCGAACTCGTTTGCTCTAACGCGATTCCACTCGAACGGTTGTTGTGGCTTCAGTTCACGTTCGACATCACATGTTCAATTGAGTTATGTGTTTTGTTTGTGAACAATTGCAGAAATAATGTATGTAATATTTATGTATACAGTATACCTATATATTATAAGTAAATTGTAAAATTTTACATAAAAGAGAAAATCAAATTACATAGCGTTTTACACCCGCGCTCTCTCTACATCACACACAGTGTTTACAGTTCACGTTCGACATCACATATTCAATTGATTTATGTGTTTTGTTTGTGAAGAATTGCAGAAATAATTTGTAATATTTATGTATACAGTAAACCACTCACAAGGTCCTACAGTACCACTAATTATTTTATACTGAAACTTACGTTTGGTAAGCTGGATTAAAATGAAGATTACCGGTATATTAAAATAATAAAAATGAATTATAAACCAGTCTAACATACCGTAATAAACACAGCTGCTATTATCATCCCCCCCACCCCCATTTGCCAGTGACAAGAAAGGGAAAGTGACCTTGACTGTGACCGCCTGTGGCTATTTTTAGCCGTCCTTGTGTTCGGAGGTGGTCAGTAATGCATATCTGTATATTTACTGATCATAATACTTATCTCTTATAAATAATTCATTTAAAATTTATTTTTTTGCAAAGAATATTGAGTAAATGACTGCATTAATTCTTGAAACTACCTACAGTGGTAAATTTAGGATATAAATAATGAACAGAAGTCACGTCATGGATTTGGAGTTTGGTCCTTAACGATCACCATAAATGTAGCCTCCCTTTTTCGCGAAACACGTATATAAATTAAAGAAAATACTTGCAGTATATTTAATATATTACAGTATATTATATATAAATAAATAAACAAATAAATTCAAATTCCCTTATCATCCTGTGTCATATACAGAAATACTTGAGTCCCTGAGCGAGTACACAAAAAGAAAACGGACATCCTGGAGTGGATAGAGAACGGACATCTCTACTGGGGGACTCAAACGTTTCTCATGTTTTGTGGGCGCTCTAGCATAATATGAATAATATGTAAATTACAATTATACATATATATATATATATATATATATATATATATATATATATATATATATATATATATATATATATATATATATATATATATATATATATATATATATATATATATATATATATATATATATATATATATATATATATATACAGTCAACCCTCGCTTTACGCGGTCCCACTTTATGCGTTTCCACGGTTACGCGGTGCCCTGCCGACCACGGAATGCTCACTTTCCGCGGTGTGTGTACCCTTTTACGCGGAGAGTGGCACGAGCAGGGTGCGCACAAGGTCGCCCAGTCATCAAAACATTACCTAGTTCTTCACCCACCACAGCCGGCCCAAGTCAGTGATAGTGATAATGATAGTGAGGATATGGACTTATATGGACTTTGAGGGGTTTGACAAAGAGGCCCTGCAAGCCTCTGTGGTGGATAGTGATACAATTGATACAGGTGAGGGCTAATAATCTGCCCTCTGCCTCGGAACCAACCCCCCATCCCCGTGTGCCCAGCCATCTTTTCTACTAATGTAAGTGTTAAAAAACCCTAATATTATTGATATTTCTCTTAATTATTGTGTGTGCATACCATCATAAAATTAAGAAGTTATTTTTACTACAACGTAGGTATGTGTCTGAAAAAGTGGAGTTTGGGGGTCGGCCCAGTCTCTATTTCAATTAATCCCATATGTTATGTTGTTCACTTTATGCGGACCGCCGTGGGTTCAATTGACCGCGTAAAGTGAGGGTTCACTGTATTGTAAAAATTTAAATAAAAGAGAAAAACTAAATACGTAGCGTTTAAAGTGTTAAAGTGTACTGTACAGTGTTGTGGCTTGGCTCAATGTTTACAGTTCACGTTCGACATCACTTGTTCAATTGATTTATGTGTTTTGTTTGTGAAGAAATACCTGTACACTATATGTAAATTGTAAAATTTTAAATAAGAGAGAAAAACAAAATAAGTAGCGTTTAAAGTGTACTGTACATTGTGGCTTGGTGCGGGGTTATGCAGTGTTTACAGTTCACGTTCGACATCACATGTTCAATTGATTTATGTGTTTTGTTTGTGAAGAATTGCAGAAATAATTTATGTAATATTTATGTATACAGTATACCTGTACAGTATATGTAAAATGTAAAATTTTAAATAAGAGAAAAACAAAATACATAGCGTTTTAGACCCGCGCGCTCTGTTTACTCCACACTTTGTTTGAAACACGTGAAGCTTTTAAGTGTCCTCAGTGAATTCTGATTACTGTTTCTCCAATTTTGTGACTATGGAAAAGAAGAATATCTCTGGGAAGCACTCTGGTGATTGCATTTCCGGTGGTGATCGTAAAAGAAAGGCTATAACACTTGAAGAAAAGCTTGATGTTTCATGACTCCTCAGCCTCAACATCACCCTTATCCCCCATCAAGTTATATTCATATTTTTTCAAGGTAAAGTGTAACATTTACTGTATGATTTCATTATTAGATATGAATGTAACATTTATTTAGACTGTGCTATCCTTTGTGTTAGGCTAACTACGAAATTTTTTTTCGATTTGGAGTAATCTGCACCTAACCCTATTTTCTCCATAAGCCCTGTTATTTCTATTACACAAATTTCTATAACACGATGTTTTACAAGAACACTACTATCGCGTTATAGCAGAACTACCTGTATTCACTACCCACAGTTTTGAAGTTAAGCGGATTCCACTCAAAAATGCCGATAAAATTACGGATTTTTAGCTGAAGCATTTGAAATTTCATCCTCTTGCTGCGTCATGCATGCACGTGTCCCCACGGCAATCTCCCACTTTGTTTTGTCCAGACCAGTACATTCTTGTGGTTACTCCTCAGGGGCAGATCCAGGAATATTAAAAGGGGAGATGGGGGGGGGGGGGAACATGGCGAGCACAGCGAGCCCACCCAGCCAGGAGGATTTGGGGGCACTGTAAGCCTCCCCCCGAATTTTTTTTTTTAAATCTGACCAATATCATGGGCATTTTGAGGCCATTTTGAAGCCATACACATTTGTTATTAGGATATATTCTGAAATCAATAGGAAATACTTCTTACTAAACAAAAATGCCTGAGAACAATACTGCATTAAAGAAAAAGTATTGGAATTTTCTGGTGAAAAGGAGGGGCCTTTGTTGTGCCTTTTCGTGCATTTTGTGGTAAATTATTTGATTGTTTTTATAGCCATGAGTTCTCAATCCAAACAGGGTGGTGCAGTGCTCAAAAGGAAGTGCACTAGGTATAGTATAGATGTAAAATTAGAAGTGATTAGGTGAAAGAAGAGTGGGAGTGAACAATCCACCTAGTTCTGTCTCTCTTTCATCCTCCTTTAACTTGACCTGAACCTTCAGTGGTTCTGAAACAAACATTAATTAGATCTGAACCTAGATTGGTTGGGTAAGATGGCTATTGTAAAGCTATTGTCTGTATGGGCAGTGTTATCCTGCCACCAAGGATTGCAAGCATCTTGGGCAATGGCAATCCCTTCTCTGAAACACCTGATGGTCTACCTCACAGGCTACTTTCCTTTGGCTCTTAACTGTGATTTCTTGCTCAATTGCTACATATATTAATTAATTAATTTGTTTATTTAATTTTTTCCAGATATTTTTACAAATCCTGATCATCTTTACGGGGAATTACAATTTCTTCAACTTACTGACTATCACTATGTGTTTGTCATTGATGGATGATGTACATCTCTGCTATCAGCATGGTCAGTCTACTGTAGCCTGTGTATTTAAAACAAATTTGTTTCAGTCATCCACCTATTTGGGAATCATTCAAAACACACCAAAAACCACTGGAAAAACATAATTCCAACCCAACCTTATGGTGGTTAGGTTGGGTTAGGTGGTAACTTAAAATCCTAAAATTTGCTGGATGACTGAAACAATAATAACACCTTTCAGTCAGATTCATTGTCTCACTTGATGCTAGTACAGTAAAGCCTCGAATAACGACAGTAATGTGTCCTCCAATATTGCAGTGTAAGGTGAATCATCATATCATGAATCAATAATTACCATTAAAATTAAGCAATAATAATGAGATGTGTTCCCCAGTGTGACCTTTCCATAATATTTGTGTGCCTTTTTACCCTCTTTTTCCCCCAAAACAATACAATTAATGAAAAATGCAAACTATAATCTTTAAATAATGTTTATGAATGCACCTTATACAATATAAATCAATAATAATATGATCACAAGAGGAGATGAGACGCTATTGTTGTTGTCGTGTTTACACCCATAATGTCACGGCCCTCAAGGAAACCGTGTCTTTTATCTTATTAAGAATATCCGGTGTGTACAAAAGATTCATTATTGTTTGTTACTGAATATGTATTTGATTTAATTAATGTTTATATGTGCGAAATGAACAATGCAATTCATTAATAATACGTAGAATATTAAAACACACAAGAGGAGACGAAACGGCATTGTTTTCGTTCATGTTTACAACACCTGTGACGAATGACGATGGTTCTACTTCTACATAAGAAACTGAAGAAATAAGACCCTGGTTGGTGCTGTAGTAAAATTAATAAAAAAAAATTAATATGTAAACATTAAGTAAGGTTATTTAATGTTAATAAATGGAACAATAGAAGTAGCTAACCATTAATGGTAAAGAAAAATCGAAAGACAGTAGATTGGGAACACCATCGTATGTACAATAAGTGCGTATATGTGAAAAGTAGCCTGAAAACATCGTCATTTCTCTACATAAGAATATGAAAGCAACTCTTATTACTGTTCTTATATGTTTTAAATAGTACTTACTTATGTAAAACAAAAATTCTACTCACAAATGGTGGTAAAATCTAAAACATAAGGACAGCCAGTTAATATTGTGCGAGTTTTTAATCAGATGATTTCATCAATCAGGTTCAACTCTGGCTGAAGCTGAAACTTTCCATAAAGATATCATAGCTGTTGCTGAAACTGTTACTGAACCTGAAGTTGCTGCTGAATTTGATGGTGTAGCTGAAGTTGGTGGTTTAGGCCTTTGAATAATAAAGCTGTCGAAAGAACCTTTCACAGCCGCTTTCTTTTCTCATTATACGTCTTTATGTAAAGGTCATATGTGTTTTTCACGTCCCTGTTAATTTTAATGCTTTGTTCTTTTAATGGATCCACTTCAGAAAATAATATTATGTTCATTGCTTGCTCCATATAATATCCACAGATCTCTCACCTTTTTCATATCGTTTTAGCACATCTAGTTTCTCGGCTAAGGTTATACACTTTCTTTTAGCTTTTGAATCAGCAATATCATATCTTGCTACCTTGCTCAGTTGAATAGGGACTCAAAAAATGCCGTAAGAAACCTAAGAATGTTTTTCTCCTTTTTCTGTTCAGAAGCGTGAAAACAAAGGGCCCGCTAGTTGCGACTGTTTATACTAGTGATGCTGGTGTCACCCTCACAAGCCCGGCAGCCTGTGTGTGCAAAGCTTTTTTTTTTTTGTATAATACATATTGGGATTTAATTATTATTTATATGAACATGTAATTTTACTTTATTTTTTATAAAATTTCCGTCGTAAATACGAAGAAAATAATGGTGTAAATTGGATTGGGTCTAAATTAACCAAGGTCTGAAATATGAATCATCGTTAGTAGAACCATCGTTATGGGAGGCTTTTCTGTACTGTACTGTACACACTGCATATTGAAATAAGATTGTTTAGTGTATGAATTATCCTGTAGTACTTTATTTTATCTCCTCTTACTCAGTGCTGTAAAGCTAAACTCATGACTTGTACCCAACAGTGAAAGATCTGTCGTTTGGGTTCATATCGTATGTGAAGAATACGTGCAGCTGGATGGGCAAATGGGTTGGCTATGGGGTGTTAGCTTACTACACCATGGCTTATTTCTCTCTACGACTCACACCACAGGGAACCATCGAGTCCAGTGTTGGTAAGCTGGTGTTTAGATGATTGGTCCTGAATGATAGCTTTCTAGTTTTGCAATACATTTTATTTTTGAGCTTTGACATGTGAGAAAAATACATATTCACAAGAAAGATAGTCAAACATTAGAAAAATTTTACAACTCATGATAACCAGCTCATTAGTGCAGTGATTTAAAGTTAAAGTGAATTCTTCAAATTATTCATTGATTATTTTTCAGATTCAAGAAAAGCCACTTCTTTAAAACTAAAACAGTGATATAATTTTTTTTTTCTTTAGGATTTAATCAAGAGGAGTTTGATGCATGGTTGTCTCGGGCTGTTCCCCTCAGTATAGCTATTGGAGCTTTCTCTCTGGTTATCACAGTGGCAGAAGCTCTCACATCAGCAATGTTTGAAGTTCGTGGCTGTCTTGACAAATTTGGGGTCTTCAGCACAACGCTCATCTATTCAGTTGCTGCCATCACCATGTTTGGAATTAGCTTGGTTAGTCATGGTGTTTCAGTGTATGATTTTGTATTAATGATTGTGAATTGTAATGCTCTCACATAAAAATGGTTTACATTTAGGGTACTTATGTATTGGTAAAAGAGTGGCAATATGTACAGAGACATCACATGCTAAAAGTATCATGTGGTTTTTTTACCTCGGGATTAAAATAAATAAATTTGGTAATGTTTAATTCTTATTTTATGTTCAATACTTTATTACCACTTTCCTTACTCTTTGTTTGCCCAGGTTCCATACACAGTTTTAGACAGACCAACAAACCAGCGTGTTTGGCCTGTGTTTCAGCATTTGTATGAGCATAGTTCAGACTTGCAATTGACTTCCGCATATGGACTGTTCCGTCGTATGACTGGGGTAGATGGAAGACCAGAAGTGGTGTTGGAGGGGGCAAAAAGCATTGATGGACCTTGGATTGAATATGAGTTTCCCTATAAGCCAGGATCCCCAGACCGTGGACCTCCTTTCGTAGGTAAGTACCATATTATATTTGACATTTTGCTTATGACAGTGCTATGTCTAGGCATTTTTACTTGTGGGAAAATGGCCAAGGGTTTAGGGAGCTTCTGAAACCCAAGACGGCATTATTTTTTCTTTTCTTTTATTTATTAGTATTATTTTTATTCATTCTTCACATTTACAGAGGAATACATTAGACCATGTAGGGATAAAGATGCCACACTAGTCCGTAGAAACTCAAAATTCAATGCCGTGGTTGGTGAAATGGTACACCCACCTCTCGTTTTACACTGGGGTTACGTTCTTGAAAACCACCGCTTAATTCAAAAATGCTTCAATTAAACATAATTTTCCCATAAGAATACATGTAAATGGTACAGGTTAGGGGAACCATCATATACCGTACAGGGTACGAACAGTGATCTCACTTAAACCAAGCACGCGGCCCACCTCCAACACACGCTCTCCTCTCTGATGGCAGGTGATCACATTTAATTTTACGTCCATTGCGATTGTTTTTCGTGCCTTTTTAGCTTTAGGCGCCCCAGAGAAGGCAAATGGACGTTTTCCAGACATGCTCAATGGGGAAAACAGGGTTTAACACTAAAAAGGTACGTGATAAACACACAATACAAATAAGAGCAGAGAAAAAGTAGTACTGGTGTGAACTGAGAAAACGATACACGGGAAGCTTACTGGATGTTGTCACAGTTGTTGTACAGAATACTTTATTGTCATCATTAGTAGTAATAATCTTTATTATTACATTATTATAATAATAATTATTATTATTAATAATAATAATAATAATAATATCGTTGATGTTGATATGACTGCGACTTTAGGGGTAATAACTCACAAGCACCTCACCAGGCATCACACGCGGCTCCACTGCCAGGCAACCAGGCGAATACGCGCAGCAAATTTAAACTGTCTTGTGCATAAATTAGCTTTTGGTATTAATTGAACAATCGCGTGATTCCAAAAAAGCTTAAATCAAACGCGTTTAAAATCTGAGTTACCTGTATGTTGTACAGTAGAGTAAAAACCATGGATACCTGGAATCCATAGGATGCCGAGAGTTTAGTGTACTGTTTTCTAAATTGTAAGAAATTTATTGTTTAAATAACTGGTTAATTCTACTCAGTTCGTACCTTTCTGAATGTTAATTATGAAGTTAATAATCCTTCACTTAAGAAATATTTATTATTGTACCAATAGTTCTCATATGATAGAAATATGATAGAAATACAGTCTCTCCTCAACTTACGGCGGGGTTCCGTCCCGATGACCAGGTCGTAAGTCGAAAAGGCAAAAATAGTACATAGAAATTCTAAAATGGGTGTCTCTTTTTCTTTTCAACACCACGAGAACTCTCACTTTTATGCTTGCCAGCCATTTTAAAGGGAATTAAAAAAAAATTTGTCAGTACACAGCGCGATCACTAACGTCAGGACTCAAAAATATGTAATGTGAAAAATATTTTATACGACCACGGCGGTCGTATGTCCGGGTTGCCGTAAGTCGAGGAGTACCTGTATTACTTTGTACAGTACTGAATGGATATTTCCATCATGTACTCATGATACATATACACCTAGACCCCGACTTACGACTATATGGACTTACGTCCATTGGTACTTACGACCTGCTTTGACCGTACGTCCATACGGGACATACGACTGCGACCGTCGTGACCAAAAATTTTTTCAAATGACGCGCGCATTTTCTATACCGAAACGTTTCCGTCCCGGGCGAGAGGGAGGGGTGGCTTGGGTCGCCTCGTGGCTACACTCACTCAGTGGAGCGCTTTGTTTGTGTTTGGCTATCGTATCCTATACTGATCGCGCTGTGAACTTTCGTTATTATTGTATTTAATTGACTTTATAATGACTGGAAAGCGTAAAAGTGAGAGTGCTGGTGGTACTCCAAGGAAAAGGAGACAGGCAATTACTTTTAAGATGAAACTGAAGATAATAACACAGTATGAGAATGGAAAAACAGTAGCAACGATCTCACGCGACCTAGGTTTCTCACACTTGACTATATCCACTATTCTGAAGGACAAGGAACGTATTCGTGAAGTAGTGAAAGGAACAACACCTATAAAGGGAACTATAATAACAAAGAAAAGACAAGGTCCTATCCACGATATGGAAAAATTATTGGTGATATGGATAGAAGACCAGATGCAGAAGCGTGTACCCTTAAGTGTTCTAACCATACAGGCTAAAGCAAGAAGCCTGTTCCAAAGCCTGAAGGAGCAGGCAGGAGATGAATGTGATCAAACCTTTACAGGAAGTCAAGGGTGGTTTGATAGATTTAAAAAACGCTACAGTCTACACAGTGTTAAGGTGAGTGGAGAGGCAGCTAGTGCCGATGTTGGTGCTGCCGAAGCTTTTAAGGAGGAGTTAGATGATGTGATTGTGGAAGGGAATTATTTGCCAGAGCAAATATTCAATGTGGATGAGACTGGATTATTGTGGAAACGCATGCCTGACCGGACATACATCCACAAAGAGGCAAAAAAAATGCCCGGATTCAAGGCATTCAAGGACAGAATTACACTTCTGTTGGGGGGGAATGTTGCTGGTTTCAAGATAAAGCCCTTCATGATCTATCATTCAGAGAACCCCAGGGCTTTTAAACATGTCAGCAAGCACACACTGCCAGTGTTTTATCGCAGTAACAAGAAAGCCTGGATGACCCTAGTACTATTTGAGGATTTGTTCATGACTTGTTTCATTCCACGAGCCAAGGAGTATTGTCTGCAACAAAGGATTCCATTCAAGATTTTACTGATTTTGGATAATGCTCCGGGACACCCACCACACCTGGACGACATGCACCCTGATGTTAAGGTAGTGTACATGCCACCTAACACTACCTCTATCATCCAACCCATGGATCAAGGTGCTATTTCTGCCTTTAAAGCGTATTATTTACGCACGACCTTCGCTCAGGCTGTTGCTGCTACTGAAGGTGAGAAAACGCTCAGACAGTTTTGGAAGGAGTACAACATTTTGTCATGTATAAAGAACATTAGTGCAGCATGGGATCAGGTTACAAAACATTGCATGAATGGAATATGGAAGAAAATCCTGAAAAGATATGTGAACAGTTTCAAAGGATTTAATGAAAGTGAAGTTATTTTGGATATTAGTAACAAGATAGTGGAGTTAGAAATTGATACTGAAGATGTTGGACAGTTGGTTGAAAGTGTAGCAGAAGAGCTCAGTAACGATGATCTTATTGAACTAGATGCACAGAAAGTTGCAGAGGAAGAAGAGAGACAAAATGTAGAAGAAGAGCCTGCACCCCCCAAAAAGTTTTCAGTGAAACATATGGCAGAGGCATTTGCTACAATTAATAAAGCAATGCAAATGTTTGATGACATGGATCAAAATTATGAGCGTTATGCCAAAGTTGACAGAATGATCCAAGATTCACTTGCTTGCTACAGAGAAATTTATAATGAAAAGAAAAAGCAAACTGTGCAGTCTAAATTGGACACCTATTTCAAGAAGTCCCCCAGTACTGGCTCCTCACGCCCCACCAGTGCTGCCTCTTCACTCCCTCAAGATGATCCAATACCTTCAACCAGCAAGTTACCACAGCACATAAACCTGTCTGAAGGAAGCGACATTGATGACCCACCCAGCCCTGTCTCCTCTTCTGCTTCTTCCAATTAATATAGTCTCCATGTATCCTGTAAATAGAAAATTATGGGGGCTCTGTGTGCATTCAGCTGACTACATTTAAGGTAAGTGCTCAGTCACACTGTATCCATTCCTCATTATTTATTACTTTTACTGTACTGTATCCATTCCTCATTATTTTTTACGTTTAGTGTACTGTATTTCATTGTAGATTTTTAAAAAAAATTTGAAAAAAAAAATTTTTGAATTTTTTTTTGAAAATTTTTATTTTTTTTTTTATTTTTTTTTTTATCTATATCGGACTTACGACCATATCGGACTTACGACCTGGATTTGGGTCCCTAACCCCGTCGTAAGTCGGGGTCTAGGTGTACAGTTAGACCCAACTAATTCGTGGGTTGCGTTCTTGAAGAACTTAGGATTCTGTGAATCTGCGTTGGACGAGCTCGAAAAGATATGAAGAATATAGGAAGTGGGACATTCATTTTTGTTACTAAACACATTAATAAATTTTATGTAAAACTGGTAATAAAAACACTGTACTGTAAATAATTGTGTTGGGGTCATGTTTTCAAGACCAAATCATTAAGCTAAAATTAGAGGGGCCGTCTTAAATGATCATATTATTTCCCTGGGGTTAAAATTCATGCATATGCATGTATTAAGATGTTATGAAAAGGGTAATTGATTGGGAGATATTGTTAGAGCCCGAGGCTCGGTGCTTAACCTTGTTTCTGATTTTTCCCTTCACTCAAAAAATTTCCCTAAAAGCATTGTTCAAAGTAAATATCACTACTTAACATTGTTTCTAACATTTTAGGTAAAGTAAGCTGGGGTGGAAATTCTTCAGGGTCTTTTTTTTTTTTTTTTTTTGAAGGGGGCTGTTGGGTCTGACCCAGCAGGCTTCAGCTTACACAGTTATAAGAGCCACATGACAGAGTGGCAAACCAGAAATTTGCATTGAAGAAGAAACAGATAAGATTATGTGTTATATTTATTGTAATAGCTTGTAGGGGAAATAAAGGTTAGGGACAAAAGCAATAATGTAATAGTGCAGTATGTTGTAACCAGGATATTTATACAGTATAAGTCAGGTAGTATTGGATAATTTAATGTAATGGAAGCACATGCACACCTCACAATTTATGCAGTAGTGGAATACAGTATATGTTACACGGAAAACAAATTTCACTGTTGTTTGCATTTTCTTATTTAGTATGTAAATATCAGTTTAAAATGGAATGAGAATCTTGTCATTTGTGAACAAATACAATTTACTTCATGTACGGTTTTCCAGCTCCTCATCAGCCTCGTGTGGACTGGCAGTTATGGTTTGCTGCACTTGGAACATACAATCAGAATCCTTGGCTCATCTCCCTTGCCCACCGCCTTCTCTCTGGTCAACCTGAAGTCATTGCCCTGCTAGACCCTTCTTCTGCATGGAGAAAATCGCCACCCAAGTATATTAAAGCTTCTAAGTACACATATCAGTTTACAAATACTGCTGAAGGGTGAGTAGTGGTTAAAAAAAGCCCATTTAGGTATCCTGTGAAAATCCCATATAGATTTGTCTTTGGAAGTGGTGCCCTTATCACTGTAATATGTAGTGTGTAATGCATAATTTGCATACAGTAAACCCGCCATAATTTGTACCACTCAAATTCGAAATCACGCATAATTCATAATGTTTTGCTGTTACAATTATTTTTTACAAATTTCGTAATATTTGGTAAAATTTCAAAATACGAGACATTTCGAAATATTACTTTACACAGTATATGCATACATATTACAATTTTCAAAATACATTACAGTAGAACGTCGATATAACCTGAGATACGTTCCAAGAGAGGTCGCTTTAAACTGAATTCGCACTAAATTGAAGTGTTGCTTCAATGGAATAATTTAGTTTGGGAATTGAGAGAAACACAAAATACTAAAAAGATTGAGAGTCTATCCAGATGCACCTCAGGCCATCTCCTAGAATGATCACAACATTGTTTTTTGTAGCATTATGTTAAAACAAACACTCATAAATCAACACAGCTAAAATTAAGGGATGCAAAATGGTCTGTTTACTGCCTGGGAAGATGGGGGCAGGGAAGGGAGGGAGGTGAGGGGATATGTTTGACAGTTGATGCCAAGGTCTAGCTCTAGTGCTTATTTATTTATTTGTCCTTAAGAGTGACTAAGTTTTTCTCTTATAAACTGTCACTGAACTGACATGGGAGAATATAATTAACATTTCTGGAATTCTTATAAGATAGTGATTAATTTGAATATAAACATGCTATAGCTCGCATTAGACATACAAATTTTAGCTTTAATTTAGGAATTTTACTACAAAGAGCAAAATTTTTTACCTTGTGCAAAATGACGTTTATATTCAAATTATTCGCTGTCTTGCAAGGATTCCAGCAATACAAATTATATTCTAACTTTAGTCTGTGACATTATATACGATAAAAATTTTAGCCAGAAACACCAAACCCTGGCTGGGAAGATGGGAGGGGGGAGGGGGGGGTGACAGTGACATGTTTGACAGTTGGCGCCGAAGGTCTAGTAAAGTGTTTATTTGTTTATTTATGTCCTTTAGCTTTAGTCTATGTTTTTTGCTTATAAAACATCACAGAAGTGACCGGGGAGAATATAATTTACATTTCTGGAATTCTTATAAGATAGTGATTAATTTGAATATAAACATGCTATAGTTTGCACTAGACAAAAATTTTAGCAATCATTTTGCCTATATGTACAGTACAGCTTTGCCCTTAGGACAGTGTAGCATGCCCAGAGAAACATAAGGCACAAAATTTAAATATGATGCGCCAGATTGACTCGCGCAAACTAGGAAAGATTCGCTTTAAATTAAAACATTGTCCTTAATTGTGGGTGTCGCTTTTAATAAATAACATTAAATTGAATCGCCTTAAATCGACATTCTACTGCACCTGTATTTGGTAAAATTTAGGATTATAAGAGACATTTACAAATATGTATGACACACTTGTCGCCAGGGCATGCAACCACCCACCTCAGTGTAAACAAGTACAGTAGGATCTCATGTTTCGCGACTAATTGGTACCGGTTTTAGCGTTGCGAAAGTTAAAATGGCGAAACAAGTGACTTTGGACTACATATAAAATAAGCCTAATCAGTTCTGCAGTGTCACCCAAACCCCCTTATAATGACCATACAACCCACCAAGAGAATTATATTACAGTAATGTATTCAAATATATTATATTGTACATATTGTTGATAACAATATTTATATACACTTATACTGTAGAATAACTTTCCTTGATGTAGTCAGTGAAATTCTTGACGGTGCTGCTTGATGGGTTCCGAGGCAGGGAGGGCTGGTTACTGCTTTCTCCATGCTCCCTCCTCCACACCTCCTCTCACCTCAGCATCAAATCTCTCAACGTCTTGAGGCAGCTCTTCCACCAGTAAGTCACCCAACACTTCACTATCATCATCGGTGGTGCCATCATCATCTCCTAAAGTGATGTTTGCCAAGGCATTAACAGGCTGGGCCTTACACAGTACCGAGTAATATGGCCTGCTGACGAGCATTACCGCGGGACATGTACAAAGCCTTATATTCCTCCATGCCTTTATCAAGGGCAGAGCACATAAGGTGCTGAGGATGAGGCCTGGTCTCGTATTCTTTTAGCTGTTCACTGAGACGTGCGATGTTTGTGAGCAACTCAGTCAGCTGACGCATTGTAGGTTCACCAAGTTTAACGTCATCCTCTTGTGTTGGTTGCTGTTCTTCTTGTTCTTCATCATCCTCCAACATTTCTTCAATTGTCGGTTGCTGCTGATGTTGACCAACGATTACTTGCAAATCTTCAACCTGAACATCTGAAAATCCCTGTGCTGGGACTGAGCGCGCTGCCTCCACTGTGTCCATTATTGTTGCCGCCACGGACTGCCTCTCTCCGCTTGCTGCGGTCTTTTCTGCCCCACTTATCTCGGAGTTTGCGAACAAAGGCTTCCATGCGTGTAGCATTGTTGCAACATTAATCTTACGCCATACCTCAACAATTCTGTCCACTGCATTTTTAATATTATATTTCTTCCAAGACTCACAAACTGATAACACTTCACAGTTGCAGGGTGGTGGGGTGCTAGGAGTCGGGTCGTCTACCATCTCCTCCTCCTCCTCCTGGTTATCTGATAGAGCCTGATCACTGTCAGAGAGTTCTGCCTCAATTTGTTGTAATTCAATTAATGAGTCTGTCTGCTGACAAAAGTCTTTATAGAGTGACTGATAGTAGAACAGTTTAACATTACTGATGAATTCGTGGTCAAGCGGCTGCAGAAGCAATGTGGTGTTAGGAGGAAGGAAGATAACTTGTACATTAGGGTGGTGTCCAATTAGAAACTTAGAGTGTCCAGGAACATTATCCATCACCAGGATCAATTTGAAGTCAGTGTTCTTCCTCGGGCAGTACTGTTGGGTGTCAGGAACAAAGTGCTTGTCAAACTAATTGATGCATAAAGACGTTGTAACACAACCTTTCTTATTAGACATCCAATAAACATTGAGCTGCAACATATTGGCATGACGGTAGGCTCTAGGATGGGCAGCACGGTTAACAACCAGGGGTTTCATCAAGAAATCTCCACTTGCATTAGCTGTGAATAAAACTGCAATCCTGTCCTTTGAAGTCTTTACACCCCTTGTCTGTTTTTCATCCTTGGCAATGATAGTGATCTTCTGTGAGCACTTCCAGAAAATGCCAGTTTCATCACAATTGAAGATCTGGTCTTGGCAATAACCACCCTCTTTCACAAGAGCTTGAAAGACAAGTAGATATTTTTCTGCTGCTATGACTTCAACTGATGTACTCTCCCCATGGTAGTGGGCAAACTTGACTTCATAATGCTTCTTAAAGGCAGCCAACCAACCAACAGAAGCATTGAACAGTGGTGAAGGGTCAACACGTTTATCCTGTGCAACTGCAGCATAATAAACACGGGCCTGATGCCTTATCTGTGGCCCAGACAGATCGCCTTGCTCACAGTTTCTTCTTTCCACCCACTTGTGAAGGTAATGTTCTGTGATAACTAACGGTAGGTTTTGTTGTGAAGTACCGTAGAACGTCCTGCTATTAGAAAATCTTGAGAATATATTCACAGAAGCAGTTAAGGCTTCCTTGTTCTTCTTAAGGGAACGTATGGTTAATTCGGGGCAGTTGAACCTACGCATGATTTCACAGGTACGAGCACCATTTTTGATCATTTCAAGCATCTCTCGTTTCATTTCAAGGGTGTATTTCCTCTTCTTGACCCCCTTACGGTAGTCAGGCTTGACTTGGGGCTTTCCTTGTTGACCTTCTCTACGGCCATCATTACCATCAGAACCGCTCCTGACATTTACATTACGCACTTCACTCATCGTTAATAGTTAAACAAGAATCTCGCAAAGCGTAAGCACAATGGGTTATATAATCCAAGGTCACTGCACCGCTTGCTCATTCAAACTAACTCCGGTTACGCCGTAAACAAAAAGCACTCGGCTGGTCGACGATAACAAAAGACCGTGACAATACGCGCTGTCCACTCAACAATGACTTGCGCTATTCTTGAGAGGCTGTAAATTTTAAGTGACGCAAAACAAATGAATCGCAAATGTAAAACTCGCTAACATGAGATCCTACACATGTCGGACCTGTCGGTTAGGGTCAGACCAATCAGTTCATGTTGGTCAGTCATGGAGTGCATATCCATGGTCTAACGCTTAAGCCTTTTCCACTTGTTTTTCCATTATTGCCCAGTGTTTGAACCATTATGTCTGATAATTGAAGCAAGCACCTCACACAGAGCCTTTAAGTGTAAGAAGAAAGCTGTCAATTTAAGAGGCAAAGACAAGAGCATAAACATCTGAGATAACGGAAAAGTTCCGTTTGTTTTGTTTTTTCCTTTTGGAGAAGGTGTCCCTCATATTCCGTAAAGTCTTATAATTCGTAAGGGCTAGAGCCCCAGTTATTTCGAATTATGGGGGTTTTACTGTATAAGCAATGTATCAGTCATACCATCACCTGTGTCAGTGTGGATGTCACTACTTTTACATACTGCACACATTCCCTTCTAGCTTATCGAAAAAAGGACTCATTTTATCATTATCTAGGTACAACTGAACTAAATTACGTACTGTGTTTGCACGCTTTATTTGTATGATTTAAAAAAATTAAGTTTAAATGAAATACCCCTATGAATTTTGTCTACAGAGAATCAGGAGTATGGTGGAAACGCAAACTAGAAACCGATTACCTTCCCATTTTTACTGTGGACCATGCACCCCTGGTAGAATACTTACGCAAGATTGGAACTATTGGTACCATGGATATACCAGCCACTAATCAACCTCTGCAGCAAGGATTGGACTCAATACGGAGTTTTGTGAACACTGTTGATCCAGCGCTTATTGTATGGGGTTTGTTTTTGACTGCCTGTGCCATCATCTGGGCAAAAGGAAGCACAAAGCCTATTGTGTCATATACCACTTCTAAACAAAAGGGGGGGAGATGTTGAACACTTAACATATACTGTTGTAACATATCTAAACGATTGTATACAGTACTTGGAATAATGCTGAAAACATCTTTTAAAAAAGAAGTTAGATTGTTGTTATTTATACTGAATGTTACACCAGTCTCAGTGCTATCATCTTGAATTAATTTGTGATAGATGTAAGAAATTTTCTAGTATATAAGTTTCAGGTTTTGGTTTAGTGTGTGTGCTTTAATGCCCCACAGCTTAACCCCCCTTTTTCATAATGCTAGAAGCCAACACTTGAAGAAGTTTAGAAAATTAAAACAATAAAATAAACAAATAAATAAATAAAAATAACAGGAGATAAGTAGTTCAGGTGTTCAAGTTTTCCATGTTCAGTTATTAGTAAAGACCATGCACCATCAAGTAATGAGGCACATCAACAAATTTTGCAACACTGCAGATTTCTACAGTCTTCTTATGCTTGCAATATGAAGTAGATTTATGGGAAAGAATAAAGATTTGCTGGAAAGATACATATTTGTGAATAAAGTGTAAAAAATATAGAAGATCGAGACACTAAAATGAAAGATTAGACATTGAAAAATACTCGTGAAACTGAATGTGGGTGACTGACCAGCCAGTACTAGGTGTGACTGTAGTCCAGGATAGGAACCAGTCCTGGAAGGAAGGACTAGTTCTTAACTGCTCCCATGGGTCTACTCTTAAACACTGCCATGGGTGTTCTTGCTTGGTAGACTAGTTCCAGCCAGTCTACGACTTATAAATAAGATCAAAATATGTAATCAACATTATTTTCATAATGTGCAATAAATCTTCCCTTGCTAATTTTCCAATAATAAGTTGACTAGAATTACATTATAACTGCATATTTTGGACTTTTCTCTGTCTTGAGCAAAATAATCATATAAGCTCTTTTTATGTCACATTAATACAAAACCTGTACAGTAAATATTAAAGAAATTAATTAACATTGTTTGATGTTGCAACATGGTTTAATGTGGCTGTTTCAGTAGATGTTATTCTTTTCATTATTTAAAATACAGAGCAGGCTTTATTTGAAGACTCATTTGAATGTACATCATAGAGAACAGTTACTAGGGTACTGTATTAAGTTTCAAAAGTACTACTGCAACTCATTTTTTCAACAATAGATTGTTCAAATAAGAAATAAAAAAATATTATATTAAATTACCTCAATTTTCCGATAGGTGCATTTAATGCTCTAGCAATTGATGCCGAAAATATTTATTTACATAATCTATAGATCCTAATTATTACATACAGGTACTGTATCTGTATAATAATTTGGAAATATACTTTCCAGTAAATATGGAATTCAGGAATCGAGGCTCATGGTCCTGCCAGGGCATTGTTTTAAAAGAGAGGTTTTACATGCTCCACTAACCGAAGTGTGAGTGGATACCAGTTCTAATAGGAAGGTCATTCACAAGCTTTGAGCCAGAGTGCTATCTCTTTGTCACCACCCTTCAACACCTGAAGATCCAAAGCAAAAGACATTTTTGCCACATCAACAGCATATGTCCCCACCTTTAACTTGCAGTTAAGTTTAGAGAAGATTGTTCTCAAGCATATCAAAGTTTTCATCGTTAGGTTCCATACATGATATAAGTTGAGGTTTGTTGACAGGCCAGGCCAAACCATTTCCTGTCTAAAGGATTTGAACCCACACTACTCAGATAGCAAACAAGGGCACCAGTAACTGAAACAGAAATTACTAAGTCATTTGATTCTGATCTGCCATTGTTGGTCCAGGAAATACCCTGAACTCCATCATAGAGTACAACAGATAAGTTTTACCAAATTGCACACCATCACCAATCTTCCATATACATAGGTGTGAATAAATATTACTATTTACTACAGTATTTCCAGAGCAATGGCAATTTATTTGATAAAACCTAACTTTGTTCTCTATGATGGAAGCAAATCAGAATAAAATGACTTTCAGTTATTTATGACAGCTGGTAAGGCCTAAATTTTCCATCTGAGTAATATGGATTCAAATCCTACTGGCACATTAATGATGTTTGTACATTTCACACATAATTAATCATTGTGGGTTTTTGTGCATTTCTTTCCAGTTTTCTAAAGCTTAGAAAATAGATGCCTGGAATGAAATTCTATTGAAATTTTCTAATTTGTGTAATTTCTTTAGGATAATTATTTATCATTCTACTGATCATCACAGACCATTTTCTCCACATTGGCAATGGGTTAATGTTGCATAAACAACCCAAAACATTGTACAGGTACTAACTAACTATCTCCATACCACAGAGTTAGACTTATAGTAATTCAAAGTAATCAAAGTGACACTCAGTAATACACAAACATTGAAATAGAACACTAGATGAATGATACTAGATGTGTTATTTATAGACACCTAAAATTCCTAATTTGAAATCACACATGGCCAGAATATTTGCAGTGATGACAAAGAATGAATATACAGGTCTGTAGTTCTTAAGTCATGTCGCTTCGATTTTGGAATCACTGTTGATAATGCTCTCTGAAACACTTATGTACAATATCTGTAAGGAAACGACTTAAGGTTTTGTGAACAACTGAGTTGAAATTTGCTTTGGATAATTGATGTCAATACAGTATGTGAATGTTCATAATGTGAAACACAATCAACTGAAGATAGTTTGCATTCCTATATTTTCACTTGTAACAAGTATGACTAATTGTTTGTCAGCTTGACACAATTGCTCTGCGATACAGTACCCACTGAAGCATTATTTTTTTTTTATACTACAGTATTTTTCTTGTGTTTTATCACAATTGTATACTGTAGTTGGAAATTGTAGCACAATGGCCTTAAGGCATACTCAGGCATATGGAAACATGTATTGTACAGTCAATGATATCGCTGTAATTGTTGGAAATGGATATACTGTCCATGCCAAAGAATAATGCTTACAACTTAACTTTGTAAGTGAAATTTAAAAATTTTATACTTAGCTTTGACATATTTTTGTCACGACATAAATATTACAAGAGTACTGTACTTCTATTGATAAACCTCTCAGCAGATAAAAAAATATACTTTTTATTGCCTTTATATACAGTAGTCACTACAGGAGTAGTCATTTCCCACCAACTAATTTTCCACAGCACAAATATAATTTTATTATGTTTTCTCATTACTGTATAAGTATAAAAGGTTCAATGATAAGAGACTTTTAAGGGTGGAGGGGTACTATTAATGGGTTCTCTATATGCATGACTTTGCTCTCTGAGATATGTGCAAAATACAGTGCAGCATCAATAGTCTGGATTATGGAATTTGCTCAGTAAAAAAATGGATACAATATTGCCAAAATGGATGGATTGCAGACCAAACATCTTTAACTTTACCACTGGAGATTCATTTACCCTATATACAGTAGTCTTTATACAGGGTGTCCCGTGTCTTCATGTCAATACCTCAGGGGTTTAATTTTTTAAGTCATTTCAGTCAAAAAAAAAATTATGACCATGGGCCTAATTCTCAATGGTTATGTAACTATGAGTATTTGAAATTAAAGTGAGAGACATTTATGAATATATATGACACACATGTCGCCATGGGGTGCGACCAACTGCCTTAGTGTAAACAAGTATACACGTGTCAGACAGTAGGTCAGGGTTAATTCACGTTAGTCGTGGAGTGCACGTCTATGGTCTACCGCGCAAGTTTCTTCCACTTGTTTCCATCATTGTTCAATGTTTCAGCCATTATGTCTGATAATCCTAGATCTGGTACTGTACTTGGAAGCATTTAAATTTTGATTGGGGCAGAAAACGAAAGAGTATTGTTGTTTTGTTTGTTTTTCCTTCGGGAGGTGTCCCTCATAATTTACAAGTGCTAGAGCCCCTATTATTTTGAATTATGGAGTTTTTACTTTATACAGCTGCTCCTCGACTTACGACGGGGTTAGGGACCCAAATCCAGATCGTAAGTCGAATTGGTCATAAGTCGAATTGGTCAAAAGTCGAAAATGCTTATATAATACATAGAAAATCTAAAATGGGTGTCTCTTTTTCTTTTCAGCACCACAAAACTCTCACTTTTAAGCTTGCCAGCCATTTTAAAGTGAATTACAAACAAATATTTTGTCAGTACAGTACACAGTGCAATCAATAACGTTTGGACTCGAAAATACGTAATTTGACAAAATTTTGGTACGACTGAGGCTGTCGTATGTCCGGGTGGTCGTAGGTCGAGTATGTCGTAAGTCGAGGAGTAGCTGTACTGTATTGGTAATATTTTTATGAATAACCCTGTATGTCTTCCCAATGTTTTATGTTAATGGGAATGGGATTGTGACTGGTGACAAATGAGGTTCTTATTGAGAAATTTGGATATACTATACAGCTACAGTACTGTGCTGTATTCTAAACTGTGGATTGATAAGAATACTGTATACTCGAAAAAATAATGCAGTAAAAATAAATTTGGGTGGATTTTCATTGTTAATTGAATGTTTAGGAAATATCCAAATAAATACAGTATTCATAATGCATGCCAGTTGAAAGATAATTTGGTCACTACAATGTACTACCTGTATTTTCCTAACTGGTAACATCTTTCTTAAAACCTTGGATAACAAAAAGAGCATTGTTTTGGGTACTAGATCAATCATATCTTAGAATATGCAGTGCTGCACATCACATAGTTTTATATTTTAGAAGATGGAACTTTGGCCCTCTTTTATACTGTATTTAGAGGTAACCACTGATACTGAAGGTATTTATGTTTGTTCAACATCAGGTTGTAGGTCATTATGGTGAAAGTTTTATATATACTGTACAGTATAAGAGACCAACCCACGTACATATGATTGGTGGAGAGCATCACAGAATTTAGAAGTGTATTACTTTCAGTACAGTATCTACACTAACAACTGACTGCCATTAATTATAAGAATTGATGTGAGTTTTTAATAGTATAATTAACATTTGTGAAATAATTGTTCAACAATATAAATAACGATTAAGTTTTATCTCTGAAAGAGTTTCACTAGAATCTTCAGCTTTGTTATTGTACTGTATATGATATTTTATACTTCAAGGTGTAGAGAAGGAAGACATCTTTACTCATTCATATAAATTACCTAATAATGTGATAGTTTCTTCTATGGCTTCTAATCTCATGTGATGTACTGTACTATTAAAAGGTGATTATGCAAGGCTTCCTACTTGTTAATCCAAGTATTTAAAAAAGATTTGGCATAAAGGGAACAGTCTCACATTGTTTTGGTAGTATGGTTAGCTAATTTTTTGAAGCTTTATGTTAATTAAGGATTGCTATCAGGTGGTTTTTATTTTGCGATATTATCAAGATTAGTGATGCAACTGTCAGGACTCAACTTCATTTACAGTATAGGTGATGCCCTTATTAAGATGGGTCTCCTTTGTCCAGAATTTGTTACATGATGAGTGACTCACTTTGTGCAGCAAGTGATGAATAACATGTCAACCTTGTGTATTTTTATGCCAGAAATAAAATAGGTTATCAGAATA